CTATTAATTCCATTTTATGTTTAGTTATATCCAACTTCAATTTAATTTCCTTTTTCTGTGGCATTTTCTGTAATTCTTTTTCAAGTCTTTTATATTCCTCTTCCAAGATCTTAGTGGCTTGCCTTTTCCTAATGTTCTTTCTTCTTGTATAATCTATTATCAAACCTCTAACATATGCCTTCATTGTATCCCAAACATTCTGCAATGAAGTATCTTCTTTTTTATTTTCCCTAAAGAAAAAAACCAATTCTTTCTCCATCCATTGTGTAAAATCTTTTTCCTTTAAAATAGTATTGTTTAACGTCCATCTCGATCTTTTTTTTTGTCCCTTCCATTTAATTGTCATTGGGCTATGATCTGCCCAAGTACTTGTTTCAATATTTGTTTCTTGAATATTAGATATTAATTCTGATGAGATCCAAATCATATCCAATCTGGACCATGATAAATGTCTATTTGAATAAAAAGTAAATTGTTTAGCTTTAACATTTCTTTCTCTCCAAATATCTTTTAAGGTTAATTCATCTGTCATTTTAAAAAAAGATTTAGGGAGAGTCTTTCTATTTTGCTTTGTTGTTGTTGCTATATAATCCAGTTTATTGTCCACAATTCCATTAAAGTCTCCCATCATAATTATATTAACATAGTCCAGTCCAGTTATTTTCATGTGTAATTTTTTATAAAATTCTTCTTGTTTATCATTCGGAGCATAAATTGCAATCAAGAGTATTTTTATGTTATTTTCCATTATTTCCACCATTAATACTCTTCCATCTTCATCCGTATAGATCAATTTTGCTGGGATGACCTCTTTAATGTATAGAACCACACCTCTTTTCTTACATTGAGTCAAAGAAGTAAATATTTTCCCTAATTTTGGTTGTACTAACAGTTGTTCATGTTGCTTTTTAATATGTACTTCTTGTAAACAAATTATATCAAATTTTAATTTCTCTAATTTATGAAAAGTTTTCCTTCTTTTAACAGCTGAATTAAGTCCATTTATATTCATTGTAATCAATTTTTTTTCCTCCATGATTATGCTTTATATTTAGGTCTAACAGCTCTCGTGGATCTCACTTCACGCTGTTCTTTCCTATCCACCTGTCCACCTACTGCACCTTCCTCTTCTTCAATCTCCAATTGTTCCTCTTGAAACCCAATTAATGAGACCTCTTTCTCTGCCTCTGCTTCTCTCCTTCCAAAAAATTCTGTGTAGAAGTTTTGCTTTCTCAATTGAATCAATTCTATGTCTCTGTTCTTGCCACGTAAACATTAATCCTTCTGGAATCAGCCATCTATAATTCACTTCTTTATCCAATAACATTTTGGTCAGGAATCGATACTCTCTTCTCATCTCTCTCACTCTTCTGGGTATTTGTTTTAAAACCATAATCTCTTTGCCTTTGTATTTCAATATCTTCTCTCTTACAACTTGTAGTATTTGTGTTTTGGTGGATTTTTTGGTAAATCTAATATGAACTTCCCTTGGTAGTTTATTTCTCATCGCATATCTTGTAAAGACTCGATATACCTCATCTATTCCATCCATCATCTTTTCCTCTGTAATTTCCAACGCCTCCGCCAAAATTTCTATCATTATCGCAGCCAAGTTTTCTCCTTTTTCTTCTTCTATATTTTGAAATCTGAGATAGAATTCTGACCTCTCCATCTCCCACCTCAACATCCCACTTTTATCTTGTTCAACCACTGTTAATCTGCTATCAATATTTCCAATCTTCTCCTCTCTTTGTGCACCTTCTTCCTCAATTTTTTGGAATCTCTCCTCATACTTCGTCATCATTTGTTGAATATTTTCAATTTTTTCATCAGTCTTCCCTGTTCTTTCTTCAATATTCTCTATTCTTTGTTCAATGGCGTCTGATTTTATCTTGAGATCTTGGATTCCTTGCATAATCATCTGTAAAGTCACTTTTTCTTGTTCTTTATCTTGCTTCAACATTGTCTGAATCAGGCGTTGTCCAGCTGGTGGGGAGGCAGAGGTAGAAGTAGAAACGCCAGAAGATATGGGTTTTCTGCTCATTTTGATGCTTCAAGACCTTCAAATTCTTTTTAGCTTTTAATCCAACTGGTAGAATAGCCAATTATAATCCAAAATGGAAAAATCCAATAATAAAAAGCCCAATAAAAAAAGTAGAAAAAGAAGAAGAAAATCTTCAGGTTCTTCTAGACCCTAATCCAATTATGAAGTAGTCCAAATTGAAAAATGAAAAATAGAAAAATAGAAGGAAGCAAAAGAAAACCAACCCCCCCCCCCCCCCAAAAAAATAATAATAATCTTCAATCCAATTGGGAAGTCTCAATAATAAAAAAGAAAAGGCAGAGTGGTCCAAAAATATAAATGAAAAAAGCAGAAGGAATCCCAGTAAAAAAAAAGGAGAAGAAAAGAAAAATAAAGAAAAAAAAATTCTGAGGCTATCCCTTTAAAATAAAAAGCAAAAATAAGAATATTACTAAAATTAAAGTTTACAAGGAGGCTGGTGAGTAAGGGTACACGACTGAAAAAAGATAACGAAAAAACAACAACACTGCACTCTATTTATTTGTCCGAGGCTCTTATTATGACTCTCTTCTCAACAAGCTTCAAGGCCAAGCCTCAAGTGTTGAAATATTGATAAGAGTCCAGGAGAACACCTGTAATAGCACGCTCTCCCTCTATCTTATCAAATTGTAATGTCCTTGAGAAGTAGTCTTTTCATAGTTCTTTTCCAGTTCAAATGAAATATTTTCAAGCCTCTAGTTGGCAGTGTTACAAAGTTTCTTAATCCACTCCCCCCCCCACCAGCCAAAAAAACATTTATTTATTTTTTAAATTAAGCAAAAAGAGAAAGTATTAACATATATATATAAAGAAAAAAAAGACAATAGCCAAAGGGAGCCTCTATCTTAAAAAAATCAAAAAGGAGCAAATATATATAAGAGAAAATTCAGTCCAGTTAACTATAATGTCACGCTGAAATTCCAAAAAAAAAAGTAAGAAATAGAAAAAAAATCCAAGCCTCAATTTGACATCTCTTTAAAAAACGCCGCTCATACAGTTTTTGTCAAAAAAAAATCTCACAGATTTCTTCTTATATCCAGAGTGTCCTTTCAAAACTCAGCTAATTAGCAAAAAAAAAAAGTTTCTCACCCAGCCGACACACTTTCACTCTCAGCTCTTCCTTACCGGAGCTGTCCCGACTTCAGCAGCTATGGGGGCTGCCTCTCCGCCGCCAGCAATAGGACTTCTTCCGGATCGAACCAGGGACTTTGCGATGTCCCTGGGATCCAGGAAATGTGCCCTACACAATCACCGTCTCTACGGGACGGTTTAGGTCCGTTAGAACCGACCGGGGGCGAAAATATCAGCTGTGATCTTGGAGCCCCGAGATTACAGCTGTATCGCCGAAACTAAGCTCCGCCTTCTCCCGGGAGCAGAATTATTGTTGTAAGTTGTTACAGTAGTAATGAGACTGATGAGATGATTCTCATGATTGGCACAATATAGTAGAATGCAAGAGTAGCAGAGTTGGTATTCAGCAGGTTCTGACCAGTTCTGGAGAACCAGTAGCAGAAATTAGTAGTTTGGAGAACCGACAAATACCACCTCTGACTGGCCCTGCCCTCATCTATTCTCTGCCTCCCGAGTCCCAGCTGATCAGCTGGGCTTTCTTTTTTTGCCCTGCACAGGAAAATGGAGCTGGAAAGCAGGTTAGTGGGGTGGGGAAGGAATGGGATTTTGCAGTAACGTTCCCCTGCCACACCCACCAAGCCACGCCCACATAACAAGTAGTAAATTTTTTTGAATCCCACCACTGAAGAGTAGATTCAAGAGTAAGGGAGTGATTTTCCCCTTTATATAAGGGAAAAATATCCTTGCAAAGGAATTCAGAGCATGAAAATCCTATTGACATTATTTGGGTAAGAATATAAGGGCTGTTTTGGGAATATTTTCTATTATTTTGTATACCTAGATTAGGCTGGAGATATAGGTGAGGTCTTTCTGCATCACTTCAAAGTGGCATGGATATTAATAAAAATAATCTTCAAGGGTAGATTTTGATCAAACAAATCTATAAACCCTAAAATATTCCATATGGGTTTTTTTATAAGTTTATAATCTTTATATGTGCATTAACTTGAAGAACTATAGTAACATTGTATGAGTTTTTTTGTATATATGAATGATTTTCTGACTTCTATTTCCTTGATATTTACCTTCACCTTGCACCACATATTGTTATATAAAAACTACTACAGGTAGTCCTCTACTTACAACAGTTCATTTAGTGATACTTTGAAGTTACAGTGGCACTGAAAAAAGTGACTTAGATTTTTTTTTCCACACTTATTACTGTTGCAGCATCCCCATGGTCAAGTAATTTACAATTGGATGCTTGACAACTGGTTCATATTTATGCCAGTTGCAGGGTCCTGGGGTCATGTGACCATCTTTTGTGACACTCTGACAAGCAAAGTCAACGGGGAAGCCAGATTTATTTATAACTGGGTTACTATCATATCAACTGCAGTGATTCACTTAACGACTGAGGCAAGAAAGATTGTAAAATGGGGCAAAATTCACTTAACAGATGTTTCACTTAGCAGCATAAATTTTGGATTCGGTTGTGGTCGTAAGTTGAGGACCACTTGTATTTGATGAGGATTATAAAAAATGAACAGGATGTTATGGGGTCAATATTTTAAATTTAGCATTGGATTACAATAATTCTTTTTATGTAAAGCATGAAATCACCTTTGGGAAATTCTAAAGAAGAGATTAGGAATAGATGTTCACTGAGAAAATCTATTTATTTGGTTGCTAGAAGTTGAAAATGACATAATGGCACATAATCAATTCATAATACACATCAGTCTTTTTTTCTTATTTTAGGCAAAACCCAGTTTTTTATCTAAAGATGTACTTTATTATTATTTATTATCTATATCTAAAGATTTTGAAATTGTCGCCTTCTGTTTGCATGACTTTTTCATTGAAGGCCTACTGAACTCTTCAGGAGCTGCAATGCCCAGTCAGATCAAGGAGCTATGAATGATATGAGACTTTGGGAAAAAGGAAGCATTAAGATGCCTTTTATAAATATACCTGTACTTGATATTAAGAAATGCCAACCAGAAATGTGGAAGGCAGTTGCTTGTTCACTGCAAATTAAACCGTGTCATAGTAAATCTAGAGGAAGTATTATTTGCAAGTAAGTAGATTTTTAGCATTTAATAGCTACCTTCAGGCATTTTTCTTAATGTTAAAACTAGATAGCAAAAGAGGTTCCATGTACATCCATACCTTCAGCTGAAAAATGTAGAGGAAAATATGCTAATGTGTCATATCTCATAAAAGTCTGTGTTCATCTTCAGGCTAATGTAAGGGCAGCTGTCATTCAGAATTTTCAGCTGATTATGTGAAGATCTTGAGAGAGTGTTGGGGAAAACCACGGTGTGGTTCTTCATTCTCTTTTTTTCTTTAAACATTCAGATGATTACATGGAGAGGGTTAACTTTAGTAGGTTTTCAGTCGGATATGCATGTAGAAAAAAGAAAATTAAATGACAGTAGTATTTTAAAAATTATATTTTCAGTAACAAAATGAAGAAAGCATAAAGCAAAACTGAAATTAGAACTAATTAGCGCATTTCCAACAAACAAAGCTTTCACATTTTGTTCTAGAACTGATCCAAAATTATTCTTATTTAATAAAGTATGTTTTTACCACCAGTTAAAAAACATATACCAAGGGAAGCAACTATGTGATATATTTGGAAATTTAAACAATTGATTTCAAACATTTGTGCAAGTCAGAGTTATTAAACCAAGTTCAGGTTTGATTTGATTTTCAGATAAGATGGCTAGAAAATTACTTTTTTACAGATTATTATTTTTTTTACTAAATTGTGTATACCTAATGTATTATGTAATTGAATAGGGTCTAGTCAGGTTTTGCTGCGCAAATCCAAACCCCATGAAATTGTGGAGAGGAATAAATCTATAGACAATCATAATAATGTTCTATGCCACTGTTGGTGAACCTTTTCGGCACTGAGTGCCAAAATGGGAGTACACACACACACACACTGGAAATCAGAAGAGCAGCTCTCTGGTGCGCACGCACAGGAGTGCCGGAAACCGGCGCACGTGAAGTCCAGCTGACCGGCACCACATACATGCTGGGGAGCTGCTCTTGCAGTTTCTGGCGCTCCCACGCGCACAAAGACCAGCTGGCTGTGCATGCCGGAACTCAGAAGAGCAACAGGCAACGGCTAGCGTGCCCGGAGAAATGGCTCTACGTGCCACTTCTGGCACGCGTGCCATAGGCTTGCCATCATGGTTCTGTGCAATGTACATAAAATACTTTGGCTGAGCTTCTATTCTGCTTAGTGGTGAATTCCTCTCAGCATAATTTGTGGACAAATTCAAGAACGGTAAAGGACCCATAATCTGAGAGTTCATCCAAGATGTTTTTAATTGGAAAAATAGCAATACAAAAAGAACTGGCAGAATTTATACATATTTGTATTCAGAATGAAGTTATTGGATCCCTCTGCCTTTATAATTTTCACCACAAGCCAAGATGGGCGGTAAATAAATCTAATAAGTAAAATAATTTTAATGAAGTTCCACATGTGATGTGATAATGCAAAGTACACTGCTTATGTAAGAGTTCAAGATTAATGCTATATCGTAATTTATTGTAGAATAAATAATTTAAGTTACTAAATGCATTAATAGTTTTTTAGGCAAACATAATTACACACCATATTATATAGGGCTGTGAAAATCTTCAGAAAGAGGTGCTTTGGAACACATAGAAAGGCCTACAAATTTGTTTTCTAACATTTAATTAGTTGTGTCTTTTTTCAGACTTGTGTGGCTGCTATGGAAGGATTTTTAAAAATTGTGTGATTCCATACTTTCCAAAACACCACTTTCACATGATTTACAGAGATCTAATATTACATATTGATATATGTTTGTAAAATTGTATGTTATTTTTATATGTGCACCTGTACTTTCTTTTTAGTTTCAAATACTGTGCACATATATAATGTGCAAACATTTTGTTTTATTGAAGGTCAGATTGTGTAGAAATTCTCAAAAAATGTGGAGACTTAAGCAAATTTCCTGAGGGACATATGGCTGAAAGCATCTGTGAACTTTTATCTCCAGCTGATGATTTGGAGACTTGCATACCTTTAGATACCTACCTTCGTAAGTACTGAAGAATAGGCCCAGTGAAACAACTTTAGAATTTAAAGCAGTTTATTTCTAGGCTTGACCAAAAAATGATGTGGACAAAAGCCTTGAGATAATTATAATTTATAATTATTTTATTGTCATTCAGTTTAATTGCCTTGTAATAATGCCATCTTTGTGATCACAGAATTGCTGGTCCTTCACAGTGGTCACACTTAGTTTTTTTAATTCCATGCAGACTTCTGATCTAAACATCTCAGAAGTAGTATTTTAATTGGCAGTCTTTCACCTTGTCTATATTGTACTTCCTTTTAAGTATAGTCATCATAATTTGTTCCTATTTTTTTGCAACAGTGATATTATGATTGGTTCTTTTTTCTGGAGCTTTTTAATGTTGCTTCTGTGTTTAGGTTTTCTAGACTATAGTATAATTTATTTATTTGGCAGACTCTTCCAAAATTTCTTCCACAAATTTTGATTTCCCAAGCATTCAGCACACTATTATTCCAACCTATTTTCTGTCTCGTACATTTCATGGCACCCATTACCACAGTAACTTATTTCTTTTAAGAGGGATGTATTCAAACTTCACTCTTGCTGGGAATTTCTGACTCTTAGGAATGTAACTGACATTATGATCCAAGATTTGGCTCATAGTTCATCTATAATATTAAGATAAACGTCACCCTCCTTTTCTGTTACAGTGATTATTTCTATTTTTCAAGTGCACAGCAATAAGGTCAAATTCATAGTGGTCTTGGAAGTGGAAATTGTCACCTTCTAACAGGTGACAGATATACAACATAGCTGGAAGGGATCTTTTGGTCAAACCCCTGCTCACGCAGGAGACCCTATACCGTGTACCAGAGGTGGGGAACGATGGTCCTTTTATGACTTGTGGGTTTCAATTCCCACAATTCCTGAGCCAATGCTGGTTCAGGAATTCTGGGAGTTGAGGTCGACAAGTCATAAAGAGGCGATTGTTCCCACCTCTGCCCTATACCATTCCAGACAATGGCTGTCCAATCTCTTCTTTAAAACCTCCAGTGATCAAGTAGAAGTGGTTCTTGACTTGCAACAATTCATTTAGTAACCCTTTCAGACTTGTATGGCAGCTATGGGAGGATTTTTAAAAATTGTGTGGTTCCATACATTCCAAAACACCTCTTTCATGTGATTTACAGAGACCTAATGTTACATATGTGAAGGTATTGATATTTGTTTGTAAAATTGTATGTTATTTTTATATGTGCACCTGTATGCTTTTCTTTTTAGTTTCAAAAACTGTGCGCATACATAATGTGCAAACATTTTGTTTTCTTGAAGATCAGATTGGGCCATGATGTATACTGTACTGTATCTCAATGCACTTTTTTAAAGGCTGGGGCTTCAAGCTCACGGTCATTGTTATCATCTTAATTTGACACTCTACTTCAGAGAGATGCCTTTGCATATGGGAGTATATATAGATAGTCATCTACTTATTATCATAATTGAGACCTGCATTTCTGTTGTAAAGTAGGGGTTATTAAGTGTGTCATGTCCAATTTTACAAGCTTTTTGCTACAGTTGACAAATCATTGCAATAGTTGTGAATCATGTGGTCATTAAATAAATTTGGATTTCCCCATTGACTTTACTTGCTAAAATCTGGCTGGAAAGGTTGCAAATGGCAATCACATGGCCCAGAGATGCTGCAACTGTTATAAATACAGTAAAACGGCTTTTTTTAATCAGATGCCCCTCAACTATTTTGGAAATAAAAGTTCAAGATTAGAGTTCATATTGATTAAAAAATGTAGGACCTGAAGACTTCTGTAGGAGGCACCAGGATGGGAAAGATTGATTTGAACAGTTACTAACTCATTCCTCCTTTTGTCTGGCAATTCTAACAATCTCTCATATATCTTTTTACTATTTTCAGTGAGCAGTTAAAACAGTGAGTAGTTTCGTTTATACAAACAAAGTTAATTATTTGTATAAAGGAAACCCTATTAACCTTAACTCTACTTCTAGTACTTCAATGTTGTTTTGGTTTTTGTTGTATAAGTGATGGAGGTTTTTTTTTTACAATATATCTATGTGGTTACTACCCATAAATGAAAATCAATTGTTGGATTTGCCTTCTTTAATTGTGACATCACCAAAACCTCATATAAACATTTAAACTAAATCTATAGTGATATAGGTTAAACTAAACCTATAGTGATAGCTCCATGCAGCTGTGATAGGACCAGAAGGCAAATTGAGAGTGTTGAGAAAAAATTTAGTGTCATCTTGTAGCTTTACTAGATAAATTTCAATGCAATACCCAACAAGTTTTATCAAATGATTGCACATTCATTGGCAAATCAGAAATTCAAAGTAATTCTAATCAGATCTGTATTATTGTATTGCATTGAGTAGTCAGTATTGCTCATACATAAATAAGGGGCAAGATCAGATGTGGGATTCAGCCAGTTTGGACTGGTTCAGGTGAACCGATTGTTAAGATTTTGTGCAGTTCACAGAACCGGTTAATTGCATCACTAGCTGGCCCTGCCCACAATGCCCCCCCCATCTTGCCTCACCCACCTTGGCTGGTGGCTAGAGACACGCCCACGCTGAACTACTCACTGGCTTCTTTGCTCGCTCGCTTGACCAGACCACGCAGCCCAGCTGATCTCTGTGCCTCACCTGCTTGCCTGCCTTTGCCGCAGCCTACCACGCTGGCCACAGAGCCCAGCTGATCTCTGCACCTTGTCCATTCTGCTCATCGCCCACAAAGATAAGGTGCTTCGCTGAAGGGTCACCTCGGGGTGGACACAGCAAGGCTTGGCCACCTTTTGGGCCTGGCTCTCCTTCCACCCACATGCCGCCCACTCACTCTAGTTGGAGGACATGCCAATTCCTGCCTCTGGCCTTCCCTGGAGCCTCCCCCCTTCATTCCACCTGCTTGCCCTTCACCTTGGGTTGGGGAATGCACAATTCCTGCCTTTCTAAAGGGACACCTCCCCATCACCACTCGCTTGCTCCTGCATGTTTCCACCACAGTGTCACCCTTTGCCGAATTGGCTTGCTTATCTCCACGGCATTTCCCCTTCTTCAGAGGATTTTTACTCACTCTCCCTGCTTCTTCCCTCACAACCACCTCTTTCTTCGTCCCACAACCTTACCTTCTTCCCATGACTGATGGCAAAGGGGAAGGCGAACCAGGGCTGAGCTGTCGCTGCTCGGATCCCTGCCTGAATTCTCTACAGCTGCTGGGCCTTGCCTACCATGGGATGGTGAGCGACCAGGGAATAGTGACTACACAGCCCAAATTGCCCCTCTGCCAGCTGCCCCTGCCTTCGCCCACCTGCCAGCCTCTGTGCTTCAACTGAGCACAGGCTGCTGCTGTGAGAATGGTGTGAACTGCATGCACTGGAAGGTAAGGCTGACGGTGGCGAAGGAAAATCCACTCCAGGCTTGATGCGTTCAGCTGAAGGGCTGCCTTGGTGTGGGGGGGGGAACACAGTGAGGCTCAGCTGCCTTTCAGGCCCAGCTTCGGCTTCCATGGGGCCTCTGGGTGGGAAGCCTGAGAGAAAATTCCTCCTCCAACGGCCACCCACTCACTCGTCTGCTGGCCGGGCTGGCCTGGAAGTGGAATGTCCTCTTGTCGCAGGCTGGCTTCAGGGCGTGAGGTGGATGGGAGGGTGAGTAGGCAGAGGCCTAGAGCAGGGCCCAAAAGGAGGCCGAGACTCGACGTGGCTTCCCCCCGAGGCAGTCTTTCAGCCGAGCGCAGCAAGCCTGGAGCGAATCTTCCTTCCTCATCATCAGCCTTACCTTCCAGTCCATGGACTCGCATTGTTCTCATAGTGGTGGCCCATGCTCAGCCAAAGTGTGCGGGCCAGTGGGCAAGGGAAGGGCAGGGGCAGCTGACAGAGGGGCGATACAAGCGGCATAGCCTCATACTCTCTGGTTGCCTCTCATCCCCCGCCCTCTGGCAGGTGAGGCCCAGCATTTGTGGAGAATCCAGGTGGGGAATGACATGGGGGGGAGCCGAGCGGCAACGGCTCAGCCCTGGCTCACTTTCCCCTCTGCCACCAGCCACAGGAGGAAGGTAAGGTTGCAGTCGCAGCCAACTGGGAAAGCCAAACCGCTGTCCAGCTCAGAGCTGCCAGTGGTGTGGGTGAAACTGCAGCACATGTCTCATTTGAAGTTCCCAGCCTTTTGTTTGAAAAATCTCCCAAATGAGGGAGTGGAGGAAGTCCCGCCCCTGGCCCTTTTGTTGGACCTGGAAGCCTTGCCTGATGGTCTTTCCAGGCAATATAGGGCTGGGTGTGATTGTCCCTTTGCACCCAGTCCCTGGGAGACTGGCCAGGAGCACCTTGCGGGCTTGAGCTAGACAGGCTTGCGAGGCGATGGTGGCTACCTGTGCTGGGATGAAGTCGGGACTGCCCAGGCGGCTTTAAAATTAAATGCTTCCTTTTCTTGCAAGTACGTACAAACATCACTAAAGGGAGAAATGATGAGTGAAGGAGAAGGGAAGTTCTGTAACCAGAAAAACTGAGAATGAAAACAATGTATTCAAGTTAAATTAGAAGTGGTTCTTTGTAAAGGATCCGTGAAAGTTTTGGAATATTGCAATAAGGCCCAAGGGAAAAAATATAGCAGAAAGATGTAATTAAAAGAGAAGAGAAAGAATGGTAAAACATCCACTAACTGGCTGCTTTGAAAATCCCTTTCAAATGTGTTTTCATTGACAATGGATTGGAAATATTTGCTTGACTATATGCTTTAATGTTCAAAAATAATCTATCAGTATAAGTAGAGATGTATTCTTCAAACTTTAGTGCATTTTGCAAAAACCATTGTAGTAAACTGAATGCCAATATAGAACATTTCTCATCAAAAATGCAATTTAATGGAGAGTAAAGTAACATTTTACACTTAGGCAACAAAAAAACCAAATACACAGGTATAGAATAGGTGGATCAACTGGGAGTATCTGTGAGACAGATCTGTTAGATGGAAACTTATCAAACAGATCCAAC